TGTTAACGATTCCAATTTGGAGTCACATTTAACAAAGAGTCTTTATTCTTTTAAGATTGAATTGCACATCGTTATAATTCATCATTATTTTCGTGGATCTTTTTGCAAAGGTGTTTCAGGTATGAACTTTGTACATTTCGTTGTTTACTAATCAATTTTGTAATCATTGTTTGTCTTTTGCATATCATTTTATTAATGTGTTGACTTATTCTATCTGATCATTTGTAAATCTTAATTATGAGGTGTACTTGGCTCCATAACCAAAGAAATGTATCAGATCATGGTTATCATGGTAACCCAAAATGGATTTCTTTTGACTGAAAAAGTTTTAATTTCTTCAAATATTGATTAAACGGTGGAAAATTGTACAGTTCTCGGATAAGTCAGGGAAAAGTGGGGAAGTTTTTAAAATTATGATTTTTATCTTGGATCACAAACTTTTATTTTATTTTGTCTTTTTGTCTTATTGAAATAAGGCATCTTGTCAGGGAATTTCAAAATCAAAGGATTGGTGAACTGAATTGACCACACGTTTCTCTAAAGCAGTCACCAAAAAATTCAGAAAATTTTACACATCTTCAATCTAATGATCATCTTTTGTATTGTAATAGTTTAATTTGAAATATATACACGAGGGTATATCATAAAGTTCTCATGATATCTCTCTATTTTTTTTATTTTTCAATATATGAATTTTTCACAGAATGTGTAGCATAGAATGCTGTATTGTCATTTAAGAAATGGTTGCCAAAGTAACCAGAAATCAAGGCACTCCGGGCAAATAAAATATCGTGCAAGAAGAGCCCCAACTAACCATGTTTAAATGCATAATAAGTTATCAAATAAGCTATGAAACACATCAAATTGTTAAATACCATGTACTAGTATTCTTGAGTGTTTTGAACTATTATAATGGTCATGTGAATTGTGTGATCTCATAATTGTTGGATTTACACTAGAGCCCTGAGACTTGGCTGAAAGACCCTAAGTCTTGGCTAAAACGTTTTAGCTTTAAAACGTTTTACAAATGTAAATCCAGATCGGTTAAATAGCTAAATCCATCGGTTTTAGCTAAGAGCTCTTAGCCCGTTTTTTGCGTTGCACCGAACGAACGCTTTAAGGGGACTTGTAAAGCGGCACCAAAGCGTAACAAAGCTTGATTAAAGCGTCGGGGCCGTAGTAGGTCGTAGAAAAGCTCGAAGTTAAGCGGGATGTTCGGCAAGAGCGCCAAAATTTTTTAAACTGTTTAAAAATTTTGGGCGCTCCGTTACGAATTGATTAAAGCGCCGAGAGCGTATCAAAGCTTAACACACCGTAACAAAGCTCAGCAAAGCTTGACCCAAAGCGTAGGAAAGCTTAACAGAGCTTGGTTCAAAGCGGGGACCCCAGTCTCTTCACGGTCTGTTACCACTTGACACGCTTCGTTTAGATGTCTCAAGCTTTGCTACGATCTGGCATGAAGATCTGACACGAGGTCAGACGCTTTCATCAATATCTGACACTCTTTGTTACGCTTTCATGAAGGACTCTCAAGCTTTTTAAGGAATTGAGACGCTTTAATCAAGGATTGAAACGCTTTGTTAAGCTTTGTTACGCTTGACAAGCTTCCTCACGCTTTCTCACGCTCTTTCACGCCGTGCGACAAACATCATGTCTTCTTCAGATAGGTCATGACCTGGTCCATCTGGAAATTCTGGATCTTGTTGTTCTGCCATCGTCTTCTCGAGTCACAGATGCAATGGTTTTATGGATCTTTATACAGCCATTTGATCAAAAGCGTCATGATAAAGGCGATCTCGAAAATGCACAACAGAGCTTGGCAATCGTATCAGAGCCTGATTAAAGCGTCATAATCGCATCAAAGCGTAATAATGCTTACCAAAGCTTATCAAAGCGTTATTTTAAGCGTAACAAAGCCTGGTCGAAGCGGGATAATAGCGTGAGGAACCGTAACAAGTCGGGAAATCAGAGCGTATCAGAGCTTATCAGAGCGTAACATTACTTAGGAGATCGTGATATTTTTGGAAAGGTAAACATAAATGACAGCGCTTAGCTCGCCGATTTAAAGCGTGGCATTCGCCGTTGGTGTGAAAGTAGCTTTAAAAATATGTGGCGCTCTTGCCGAATATCCCTCTTTACTCCGAGCTTTTCTACGACCTATTACGACCCCGACGCCTTAATCAAGCTTTGTTACGCTTTGGTGCCGCTTTACAAGCCGCTTTAAAGCGCCATCAAAGCGCCGTTGGTGTGAACGTAGCTTTAGCAAAAAGTATAGAAGCGGGAAAGGAATAGCTATATGACTGAACCGTCCTTCAACCAGTACTGAACTGCTTTTTTTCATTTTACATGTATACCTACATATCTCTAAGACGTTTAGAAAAAAAGGTGTAAACTCAATCATATTTCGTAAGATGTCTTGAAAATGGTGGTGTAAACTCAACATAATTTTTCTAAAACGTTTTAGCCAAGACGTCTTGGAATGCCGCGTGTACAGTGTAAATAGGTCTAATGGATGATTATGATGCTTCATTAGAAGTGATGTTAGACACTACAACTGTTTTGCCAAATATTCCAAGGAAAGTCGATTTTCGACTTTAGTTCATCTTAAATAAATAATAGATCACACATAGGGTGTAATTTTGTTGATATCTTTGCAACATATTTGCTTTAGACCATCTGTAGTATGAGCAAAGGATTTTTCGAACTAAACTAAACTTTTTATCAATATGAATATTATTTTTCTGATGATCCCTGCATCTATCAGTCATTTCTGATCATTAAGCTCTGGTATCACATCTAATGAAGCATATAAGCATCCCCTATGACATCACACAATTCACATGATCAATTTATTTTATAGTAAAAGCATTTAACAACATATTCTAGATAACATTTTAATGTGTTTGAGAGTTTATTATGTATGTAAACAAGGTTAATTAAGCTCATTCTCTCAATTATTTTTATTTGCCCCGGGTATATACTTTTCTCTATATTGTTTTAGAAAACTCATCAGACATTTCTTTTGTTCTCAGTATCATATGTTCGGAGTGAAACGAAACATCTATCCGGACCTCATTGGAACAAAACGACATATACACAACGTGTTTAGGTCTCTCAATATTGTAATTGTACAAAGGAAAGTTTGGTTGATAAAAAAGTAATTTGTTAATGAAATAAAAGGTTTACTTTAATTTTTATATGTTTTGGGGTTTTTGTTTTAATTTTTGAACACTTTTTGTTAAATCAATCAAAAAGGAGTGGTATCGATATGGTGAACTTTTTGAACACGCGTTTCTCTTAAAGCAGTCATCAAAACATTCTGAAAATTTTACACATCGTCAATTTAATGGTCATCTTTTGGATGGTAACATTATAATTTGAAGCATATATATATATCCCTTTCTCTATATTGTTTTAGAATCAGACACTTCTTTTGTTCTTGGTATCATATGTTCGGAATGAAATGAAACATCTATCCGAACCTGATTGGAAAAAAACGACATAAAAACAATGTGTTTAGGTAATTGTACAAAGGAATGTTTGGTTGATTTTAAAAAAAGTATCTTGTTAATGAAATAAAATCGTTATCTTAATTTTTATATATTTTGGGGGGTTTTGTTTTAAGTTTTTGCATACTTTTTGTGAAATCAACCAAAATTTCCTTTGTATAACTGTAATATTGAGAGATCTAAGAAAATGTTGTTTATGCTATTTTGTTCCAACAAGGTTCGGAAAGATATTGTTTTTCATTCTCAAGAATTATGAGAAAGGAAAAAACAACTGAACTAATTAAATATTCAAAAAATGTTAACAAAAACAGTTATAAAAATATATCTAAATGATTTTCGCATAAAATTGTTGTCAATCAGTGACCATTACAAAAATGACCGTTTTTTTACAGAATGTTCAATAATTGGTTTAAAAGAAAAACAATGTTGAATTCAGTTCACCATATCGATACCAATCCTTTGGGAAAATTAGGGGAATTTTGATTTGTAAATCGTTTTATATGGCCAAAATTCCATTGAAGACTTAAGACTACGAAGAACAAAATACGTCACTAAATAACAACCTTTTAATTTGAATTATTTGTTTTTTCATAAGATGAAGATTACATACAGCATATGGGTAGCAGTTTTCGCTATTGTGCTAGGGCTGGTGACAGTTCACGCATATCATCCTCGCTCACTCAATTCAATAGATGATCTCGACAGAGTTGTAAGTAATCTAGCTATTGTAAAAACACAAAGATAAATACTCATTTCCAAATTCTCACTGATTTTCTAATGTACCAGGCACGTCTGTTATGTTCTACGAGAAGCACCAGATTTAATGCATTGCTTCGGCCCTTGCTCTGTATGTAATATAGGTTTGATTAATATGATAATAAAACCTTTAAAAACACCAGATTTAGAAGGAACCTGTATGCTGGTGATTTAACACGTTTATAATGCACGTTAACAGTACCGCATTTACATGATTAATTTGTGAGACCATCCACGAGTTGCATTGTATGCAGCTAAATTCGAGGCCTAGTTGAGTGTATACAATTACAGATCAAATGGGGTATTGCATCACTTATTAACCCTCCGATTTTTAACTATCAGCATTAAATTTCATATTCTCCTACCATCGAATAAGATTTATTGCTCATTTTTGTTCCAGGATATTGCCAAATTAGCTGCAAAAATACTATCCATCACAGTGGCGCGTGGTAGCCCAGTGTATAGAACTGAGAAGCGTAACGCAGGGTCTTTAGAGGCCGTTCTTGGACTCCCAGACCTTGATGACGCTGGACGAAGAAAGTGAACTCGAAAATATCTTGCATATGCCATGGTTTTTTAAAGAGAATCAACGAATTGTGAAACGAACATAACTTAACGTTCGGAATGTCTACGAAATCGAACCGTGATAAATCCATAGTTAATTGACAATAAACCATAAAAATGATATATACTCGAATCCCTTTCATTTGTAACTGCATCAAAAAGAATGTGGAGATGATGTGACTGTACGAATGTACAAAATTGAAATGAATGCAAGAAAATATTACGTTTTTAGTTACGAAATCATACAATACTGTTATATTATGTAGTTTTATTGAATATGTAGTAGTGAGCTTAGTAGAGCACTGTAAACTTATCAGATTCATTCAGTAGCGATAACACTAAATGATATAAATGATAACCATCATGTAGGTCATACAGAAATTATGATTCCACAGTGATTATTGTTCCAATAACATGATGGCTCTGATAAAGTATAAACTAATAATCAAAGGAAAATGATTGCGATGAGGTCAGACATACACTTATGGAGAGTCGGTATTATTTCTTCAACGTCTAGTCACTTTCATTTGTTTTTTATCATCGCATGTGTTAGGCAAGAATATGGTAGTTTGCTGAAGTTTTACGTTCATAGCATATAAAGTAATAGTCATCCTTTGTTATGGACGAACACTGTTGAGTACATTTTCGAGGTTGTTATGTTTTACAATTTGTCGATCCAAACAGGGGCGACAAATACACTCACGGGCATATTTTATTAGTCGTCTGATATGTCTGCCTCCATCACACGAGAGGATTACTTGCTGTACACCAGATTTCGTCAGTTGGCAGCAACTATAAAAGTAAGAAATTCACATCACAGATTACCCATTACTGCTTATAGGCTAATGGTAAAGTTCTTTGTTATTTTTTATCTGAATTATCTGTATCTAAATAAGAGTAACCGAATTAAAAGATCCAAATAAGAGTAAGAGAATTAATAGTACAATAACGTCATTTCTAAGGGCAATATAGTGAAATATTGGACCGAGGGCCGAAGGCCCAAGGTCCAATATTTCACTATATTGCTCGCAGAAATGACGTTATTAGTATTATTACCACCGTTAACGACCAGGACTGAAACAGCAAGAAAATCTTACGCATTGAACGATATCTAATTTCCCGGGGAAAATTGCCGGTCCAGAATATATTCTAGACCGGTCCATATGGACCACCACTATGACGTCACACATTTCTCAGGTCGATATAGTAAAATGGGTGACAGGTCATCTCAACCCCAAGTCATCTCAACCCCAAGTCATCTCAACCCAGTCCAACTCAACCCCACGTCAACTCAACCCCAAGTCAACTCAACCCTGTAAAACTCCACCCCAGTAAAACTCAACCCTATTCATTTGTGCAATGTCTAATTTAATTTCTTATTAAGAATAATTTAAATTATTAATTTCTGAAAATCTAGCGTTTTGCATGATACTTTGAATAGAAAGTTGTAAAAGTATTAAAAAAACGGTTAAGCTCAAGGATAATTCATCAAGTTGTCACTATTATTGAATTTAAGACATATTTTGAAATCAGATTTTAGATAATTTAGAAATAATTAACAATGTAATATAACTTTTTATTTATATGAACATGCTTTAACAAAATCATTAACATTTAGTAATTTATAAGAAAGCATAGACGTAGCCAGGAGGAGTTCGCACACACCCTCCCCCCAATTTTGAAGGAAGTTGCATCATTTTTTGTCAAAACATATCTTTTTTTGGCTCGCTTATGCCACGATCGGCACCCCCTGACTGAAAACCTAATTTTTTGGGCGATCGCATCCCTCCTGACTGAAAGCTGGCTATGCCCCTGGAAAGCAATGGTCATGTTCCAGTTTTCCAAATAATCAAGAGTGTCAACCTCATAGGGATTACAACAAAACAAACGTATTAGCAAGATTAATAAAATTACCCATATTTTAATCCTATTAGTACCATGTTGACATTTTGGAGATAAACTCATTATTAACTATCATACAAAAAGGCAGTGGTCTAAGAATGAAAATCACATACTGAATCATTCGAATTATTTTTATGAAATAAACTTTCTTATAAGTTTATCAATATATAGAAATATAGGGGTTGAGTTTTACTGGGGTTGAGTTTTACAGGGTTGAGTTGACTTGGGGTTGAGTTTTACTGGGGTTGACTTGACTTGGGGTTGAGTTGACTTGGGGTTGAGTTTTACTGGGTTGAGTTGACTTGGGGTTGAGATGACCAGGAAGCGTAAAATGAACGCCTTCTAAACTAGCACTAAAACCCCTAGAACTGGCCCGGCAAGGTGGTAATAATAGATCTAAATAAGAGTTCAAGAGAATTAAAAGATCTTAATAAGAGAAAGAGAATTAAAAGATCTAAATAAGAGTAAGAGAATTAAAAGATCTTAATAAGAGAAAGAGAATTAAAAGATCTAAACAAGAGTAAGAGAATTAAAAGATCTTAATAAGAGAAAGAGAATTAAAAGATCTAAACAAGAGTAAGAGAATTAAAAGATCCAAATAAGAGTAAGAGAATTAAAATATCTAAATAAGAGTAAGAGAATTAAAAGATCCAAATATGTGTAAGAGAATTAAAAGATCTAAATAAAAGTAAGAGAATTAAAAGATCCAAATAATCTTGCATTCTGGCGGCCATCTTGGAAGTTTTTGGATAAATCTTGGCATCGTGATTCCAGGAAAACCACTAAACAGATTTACTTCAAATTTTCACACATGTTATATGGTATGAAGTTCTAGAGCTGATTAACTTTTCGGTGGCCATCTTGCATTCTGGCGGCCATCTTGGAAGTTTTTAGATAAATCTTGTCATCGCGATTCCAAGAGAACCACTTAACAGTTTTACTTCAAATTTTCACACATGTTACATGGTAAGAAGTTAAAGAGCTGATTCACTTTCCGGCGGCCATCTTGCATTCCGACGGCCATATTGGATTTTTTAGATATATCTTGGCATCGCGATTCCAGAAAAACCACTTAAAAGATGTACTTCAAATTTTCACACATGTTATGTGGTAAAAAGTCCTAGCTCTCAATAGTTTTTCGGTGGCCATCTTGCATTCTGGCGGCCATCTTGGAAGTTTTAAGATAAATCTTGTCATTACGATTTCAGGAAAACCAAACAGATTTACTTCAAATTTCCACACATGTTAGATGGTAAGAAAGTCTAAAGGTGATTGACTTTTTGGTAGCCATCTTGCACTCTGGCGGCCATCTTGGAAGTTTTTAGATAAATCTTGTCATCATAATTCTAGGAAAACCCCTTAACAGATTTACTTCAAATTTTCACACATCATGTTACATGGTATCTTGCATTCTGTCGGCCATCTTGGAAGTTTTTATTAGATAAATCTTGTCATCACGATTCCAGGAAAACCACTTAACAGTTTTACTTCAAATTTTCACTCATGTTACATGGTAAGAAGTTATAGAGCTGATCAACTTTCAGGTAGCCATCTTGCATTCTGGCAGCCATCTTGGAAGTTTTAAGATAAATCTTGTCATCGCGTTTCCAGAAAAACCACCTAACAAATTTGCTCCAAATTTTCACACATGTTACATTGTAAGAAGTTCTACAGCTGATCGATCAATTTTTCGGTGGCCATTTTTCATTCTAGCAGCCCTCTTGAACGTTTTTAGATAAATCTTGTCATCGCTACTCCAGGAAAACCACTTAAACTGATTCTCTTAAAATTTTTACACATGTTACATGGTAAGAAGTTCTAGAACTTTTCGTTTGTACTTTATACCATATAATAGATGAATTGAGTGTATGATATCAATTGACTTTTAGAATTTATAAAGGTCTCGTGACATGGTGCACAATGAAAGGTTGTCCATACATATAGGCCACATACATATATTTTCTCTTAAAAGAGCTTCAATTTCGTAATATACTCAGATCAATGCCAATTAAGCATACATTTCACTCTAAAAAATCACTGTGCATTGTTGGATTTCAAAGAAATGTTTGACGTTTTCAATAATCCATTTTCGTGCCTTTTGCCCCTGTTTATATCACTATAAAAGCTGTTTTCTGTATGAGGGAAGACTTGTTTTCGTATAGCACAGTCTGTATAGGTTGATACACAATATACATGTTCTATCTATTCCATAGAATTTTGTGCCTCAACGTATCCATACAGGTTGTAGAGCTACTATTGACAATATCTATCATTTGGTTTCAAGTTTTAAAAACTTAAATGCTTCATACACCTTTTAAACCACACTTAGGTAGCAACAGAATAGAATGAACTGTGTTTTATTTTTAAGAATACCCAGCTGTAACAAAGAGGGGTGCATTATTTTATACCCACTCACTTCTCAATACACTTACATGTACCTTATTCCCATCTTCATTTTTAATAGAGAGATTTCGAATACCAGTATAACGTAAATTTTTTGAAGCCGTTTGATTACGTCATCATTTATTGAAGAGCTATAGAATACGTCCATAAGTGTGATATTCTCACATATGGACGACGATTTATAAGAATATCACACTTATGGACGTACATGTATAGAGCTGCGCAACAAATGCATGATGACGTAAACAAACACTTCATAAGTTAACCGTTACGGGAATAGAGAGATTTCGATCATATGAAAGCATACGTTATGTTTACGCGTATAGGCTATTAGCTATACGCTATAAGTATAAGTGAATCAAGTTTGTCGTTTATGCAAAAATATGGACTTATACGTATCGAAATGTATATTTCATTGATCAATTCTTATGATCTTTTCACCAAGAATGAATCGTTTTCTCCTCCAGATTCCTCGTTTATAAGGTGGATAAGATAGTAATATGACTTCGTGCCAAATATCACCGTAATTTCTCACAAATAACTATTTAAACGAGATAAGTATTTATTCACTTATATGAACAACGTTTATTTTTAAATAGATAGAGCTGCGCGATAAGTGATGACATAGTACACACACGTTACACGTTAATAAACATTGTAAACAGCTATAAGTGAGTTGCGAAATCTCTCTATTATTAAAATGATGCTACTTACTTATAGAATTATTCAGAATTTAATTACAAATCATATTTATGTGAAGGTCGTAGTCAAGGTTGTTTATCATACTAATCATGGGATTTCAACTAGAATTGAAAGCCCATGTACTAATGAAACAATAGACAAAATAATTTTAAGGGGGAATGTGTATGCGACACATACCGAGTAAGAAAATCGTGAAAATAATTTTGTAATTCATTCACAGGCGAGGTATGTATTAAACCTTTTACAGGGTGGTCCAAAAAAGTGAACCCCCGCAACGGGCCATATTTCCCTTATTACCTTTAGGAATCCTTTCATATTTTTACATGTTGTAGAGGAAGGTCTTAAATATTTGTTGGTACCATCCATTTTTCTTAGTCTTGCAATTTGCAGAAATTATAAGCCCTAACCAAATGTTACTGAAAATGGATAAAATGTGATTTTCAACTTCCGCGATTCTTCAACCCTTCGAGACCCTTCCCCTGACAATTTTTTTAGCTGCAGTCTTACATCTAGCATCCTACCTCTATTAGTTGCAAAGATATTGTGATCCAAAGAAATGTACTAAGTATCCATAGACGAAAGTTTTTCCCAGTGAAATCGCAACATACCCCTATATGATCTTGAAATGTCAATATCTTCATTAATCATGGACCAATTCTAATGAATTATGGCTCAAAACATTGAATATTAGATTTCTTTTGCTTTTCTAAAGATATTTGGTGAAGGGCTTCTCAGATTCTTAGTCACAGGGGGCAACTTTGTCCCCCTCTAACCATTTGTGTGGGTGACATGCCCCTTAACTGTTGAACAGTTAAAACTGCTTCAAAATGATCAATGAACATGTGAAATGTGTTTTCTGCTCAAAAGTATCCCATTTGTCATGTGGTAGGGTTTTAAACTTGTATCTCTAACTGAAAGCTGTTTTAAGAATATCAACGTGCTTCAACAATTTCCATGAATTACATTGGTAAAATTCTGCACAATCCAATTTTCAGGCATGTTTGTTTAAGTCTTGTAATTTCTTCACAATTCAAGACTGAGAATAAATTATGGCATCAACAAAATTTTTAGACCTTTCTCTACAACATGTGGTAATATGAGGCAATTCATGCAAGTATTAAGGAAAATATAGCCTGTTGCAGGGGTTTATTTTTTTGACCACCCTGTATATATCATCATTCTCAGTCTACTTCATGCGATATTGGTGATGAAGATCATGAGTACCCCATTGATACTAATTATTATCTTCAAATCTGTTGTATCGCTTAATAAAGATAGGAACCATATACTTTCATGATATCACTAGGTTTTGTATTGGAATGGACTTCAAAAAGATCTTCAAGGGTTCATTATACAAATCCGAGACATATACAACTAGTCAAAATGCACATACTTTGATATAATTGAGGACTCAACATATCTACGTTTAAAAATCATAAAAATACATGTATACAGGGCGTATAAAAAACGCAACAAGCAGTTATCTCATAAAATGGCAAAACTAGTTATGACGGTATCTGGTCAACTCGTACCCAAGATAACTCGTACCCAAGTCAAGTCGTACCCAAGACAACTCGTACCCAAGACAACTCGTACCCAAGACAACTTGTACCCAAGTATATGTTTTGTTTTGAATCAAGTGTTGGGCTGGGAATGGGTATAGATATACATATTATAATGGTTACGTACAGTTCAGAATAGTTTGAAGTATGTAGAAGAGTTTTTGGAAGAAATCGATTGAATTTTTTGACCAAATATATTGGTCACAGATTCAGATGTTCGAGGGAGGAGATTTATGTTTATTCCACATATTCATAATCATTGTTCACAATATTAGTGGTATTTTTGTATGTTAATGAGTGTTTGGAACAAGTATCAGATCTAATTCATCTTGAAATATGGTATTATCAAAAATATAAAGATTTTCAAAACTTGCGCCTATTTCTTATTAAACAGATAATCTATTTAGGATTTCATATTATCAGATTAAAGAATGATAATGATGATAATGATAATGATTTTTTTAATAATCATTTATTTCATATATATACTATACATAAAATAATACAATAATAACGTTTGACTAGGTTACAAGTAATATTATTGTCAAACTGAAAACCTTAATGTAGTTACATTCATAATTTTTACTTTACAATGATAATGATAAGTCACATTCATAAAATTAAGCAATAAAAAATGTTCTAAATAATATGAATATCAAATATTATTTTGGTACTTATTCATACATGATATAATACATTTTGCATGCATGTGCTCAAATATAATCCAATAAAGTTCCAAATGGAAAAGAAATTAACAGATTAAAATTTCTCTAAATGCACTAAGCTAAATTATTACCACCTTGCCGGGCCAGTTCTAGGGGTTTTAGTGCTAGTTTAGAAGGCGTTCATTTTACTATATCGACCTGAGCAATATGTGACGTCATAGTCGTGGTCAAGAATGCATCTCAGACCGGTCGAGAATGCATTTAACGACCGGCAATTTTCCCCGGGAAACAAGATATCATTCAGTGCGTAAGATTTTCTTTTCTTGGGCCTTCGGCCCTCGGTCCAGTATTTCACTATATTGCCCGCAGAAATGACGTTATTGTACCATTAATTGTTTGATTCATTTGTTGAAAAGTTACTGTTGTAATTATATTTATTTATATATATGTATTACAAAAAAAGTTGAGTCTTCTAAATTCAGAAAAAATATTGAGGCACATTATAACATTAAACATTTTGACACAGACTCAATTTGTTTTCTTATATGCACCCATAATACTGAAAATCAACTTGGGTACGAGTTGTCTTTGGTACAAGTTGTCTTGGGTACGAGTTGTCTTGGGTACGAGTTGACTAGGAAGCGTTATGACTACATCAATTTCATTCGATGTACCATAAAGCCATGTCCCTCCTCTTTGCAACGATATACCTGTATGTTATTCATTCACGTGTGGTCATGGTTCAAGTTTCAAATATTGCAAAAATCAGTGCAAGAGCTAAGTGCCAATGGAAGTTCTCCTGACTTGAATTGTTGTGACTTTTCTTTTGGAGCTATCTCAGGAGCATCTGTGCTTACAATTCCTTCACCAGATATTGCACTTGGGCCCCGTACACTGACTTTCGCGATGTTTATAAATTGCTCCCAAGCTAATTTTGGCCCACTTTGCAAAAGGAATGATTACTCGCCCAATCATGACCAAATATCAATGAATGATATATCATTGGAAGGAGGAGACACATGGCTTTATGGTACATTGAATGAAATCAATGCTGTTATCACTGGTTTTGTGCTCTTCCGAGATAACAATCTGTTGCGTTTTTTTATGCGCACTGTATAACAATATTTAGCACTAATTTATCAACTTACAGAGAAATACCTAGGGTGCTGTAAACCTGTTTGGGAATCAAAATTAAGTGCAATTCAATTTTGAGAATTTTAGAAAAGCACTTGATTTCGCGAAAAACGTATTTAAAACCTAATATGATAATAATTAAATTGGAATAATGACAGTGACTAAATGAATAAATTAAATAATCCAGCTTACGTGCAAACTTTATCCATTGAGGTAAGGTCTGCATTTATGGAGCTGTAAGACGCACATTGGCCCCTACATCCCATCGACAGTACCTGGGTAGGACGGCAGGACTTTGCGAACTCCGGGGGCGGCTCCACATGCAACATCAAAGGTTTTACGCTGCATTCTTTATTATGTGCCAATATATTGTCGGATAAACCCTTTACATTTGTCACACTTGCTACTGAGAGAATGAGCAAAATGCCTAAAAATTAAGTTTAATCTCAAGCAATGTGCTAGTGATAGGTGGTATCAAGATGTGGAACTAAATTTTTGCGTGAAATAAACATGGGCTGATTTTTCGAATGTTTTACGAAGTCCTTAATTTACATGTACATTGTGTACTAACGAAAATATCATATATGCATATTCCACTAACTTTAAAACGGTATTATGTAATACTCACGTATTGCGCATTCTTCAAATGTGCTATCTGTCATCATAAAAAGTTGTTCTTTCAGCAGTAATCTCCCCAAATCAGTCAGGTTTATGGCACTGTCTTCGCATTATAAAACAAAACAAAATTCACATCCCACACATTTGATATTAACTTTACTTTGAACTATTTGAAAAGTATTCAAATGAGTTATTATATCAAAGCTTAAAATACTCCATTAACAGTAATATCGATTCATACTGGTAAATGTATTCCGAAACAACCCCTCATATGTAGGATGGTTACTTAACAGGTTTCTCGAGAGGAAATTGTTTCATTTACAATCAAATGAATCCGAATGAGACAGGGCAATTATCATTGAAACATAAGAACTGTAAGTCAAGCTGTATTCTATTATTGTCGTGTAAATTGCACCAACACATACGGATATACACGGACAAATTCATTCAAGGGAAATCAATCAGGAAGAACTGGTGTGGTATATTTTAATCGAATAGCCAGTCAACGGTCATGCAACATACTTCTCAACTTGTAAAATCCTGAGTAATTTTTCTAAAACCTGAAAACCCCAGGTTTTCCGGGCTAAATTTTTTTTTCCATTTTCCAGGTTTAACCAAAGTCTTAATTGAATATAACGATACATACGTGAGGCTCTTATAAAAAAAGTTTTCTCAGTGTTTATCTGAAAAATAGCATCCCCCATGAAGGGCGAATTTTTCTATGACACGTCGTGAGTAGGTGCTCAAGGATGGGCCACAAGTGAATTTCTCAAGACAAAAAATGGCGACCATTTTGAAACTAGGCGAGCTTTTGAACCAGGAGTCATAAGGGAGTTTTCTGTATTGATGCAGAATAAACTTAATAAAACAAAATAACTTAAAACAGGAATCCTATCGACAGAGGTTTTAAGTCAAATGGTCCAAACGTGGATTTCGTGAGACATATGGACAAATGATGTTAACTAAAATGGCTGAAAATAAAAAAACGGATATAAATTTTTGCCGATTTTTTTGTAAAAAAATATTATTTCACATAACTACTCTTTACAGTGACATGACTTTTTACATTGAAGAACACCTGAAATTATTTGTAAAGCTAGGAAATGGGACAAAAGTGAATTCTACGAGATAAACGGATAAAAAATTTTGCCGATTTTTTGTAACAAAATTATTTCATACAACTACTCTTTACACTGACATGGCCTTTAAATTAAAACGGGAATCCTATGGACAGAGGTTTTGAAACTGGCGAATTGTTGACAGACAGACGGACGGACGGACGGACAAGTGAGTGATTGCAATAGGTCACCATGTGAGCTAAAAACAGGTGTTTTACGGTAGATTTATCAAAAAGCAGTAGTTATTTTTCAAACATTGATTTTTTTTCAAACATTGATGGATTTTTCAAAAACTGTAGTTTTACGGTAGACTTTGAGAAACGGTAGATTTTTCATAAAATGGTAGTTTTTGGAACTATTTTGAACCAATTTGAACTATCAAATTGTCAATGTGCACTATTGAAATGCCACCAAAGAATTTGATTCACATAATCAATTCAACAGATAAAGTGTATATATTCTTTAGTGTACAATGTTTTTGTACAAAAAAGGAGCAGATTGTATTATTCTAAAGAACACTGTGACATTAAGAATAAGATTTAGTTAAATGCGATCAGAAAATAAAACAGTATGACAAAAATTAATGAGTAATAAGACATTGTAAGACTGTTGATTGAATTGCTTATTTACATGTAAGTTGGCCCAGAACAAGTATTATTGTTAGTACCTCAATTGAAACACTCAATTCTGATTGGTTGATGAGCGGTCAACAATATGTACTAGTATGCATTAAAAATGAGATTTAGTAGAAATACAGTACGGGAGAAAACGGTACGGGAGTTTTGTTATTTTTAAGGAAAAACAAAAAAATACGAGAGATTTTCGTAAAAAACGGGAGGTTGACAGGTCTGTTAATTCATACATAATACAATCTCATTCAGTTATTTACTTGAAAAACAACCTTTTCTGAAAATGTACCGGAAAAAACTACACTCTTTAAATCAACCGGAAAAGTACCATAGGCTGGCAGGTCTGCTTGAATTGTACCTGCTAACCTGCTATACTATACCATATACAGTCCCGCTCAATTCCAATTTCCAAATACTAGAAAAATACCGCATTTTTGAAAAACTTCCAGATTTAGTAAAAATATTCCGCAAAAATAAAGAAATTATACTACATCAATTTTTTTTATTTTAGGTTGGCAGATCTGCTCGGACTATACCGACTATACCGGCATGAATATGTACCAAGGTGTTAACTTCATTTATAAAGTAAACAAAACATGATTTGTGATAAACCCCTTTATTTTTTGTATTATTATGCAAACTATAAACAACGACAACAACAAAAAATCTCAGTACAACTGATGCAATAAGTCCTGATAACAAGCAATAAGCAATAAAAGATTCTACCATTAAGGTATGGATTGTATCGTTAGAATGGATTGAATTGGGTTGGTTTCATGTAAAAGGTGGAGAGGATGGAGCATTTTCAAAATGTGGAATTTCCAGAGTTTGCAAGCAGATGCTTGAACATATGATACATACTGTACAACTACATTTATTTGTATGTGACTACATAAATAAATTGAGTCACCCTGTATAAACTGTACCCTGGATTGTACACCCCTCAACCTTGCTGTGTGCGCAGAAATGGGCTGGTATTCACCATATGAGTGGCAGATACTTGTAGCAACTCGATACAAAGATCGTTGTGAAGCCATGGATCCCACTAGATTATCATGGCATCACCTGTTTAGGTAATGTCCTCAGTGTCCTATGGGCCGTTAATGGTCTGGGGTTAATTACATATATTTTAGCAATATTTTATTTATGATGTAATTGTTTTATACATGTATTTATTATATACAACACTCTAATATTATATGGCAGATAATTATCAACTTGTATCATGCCTCCACAGTCCACATTCCAGTAATCAAGTTTTTGAGATCATAAATGTAGTAAAAGTTTCATGAAATTTCAGAAACTCCATACTTTTTGAATTCCTGATCCAATCTAACCCAATCCACAAAATTTACACGAAACCAATCCACTTGATCCAATCCATATTTGAATGCTTACCACCAAAAATGGTTTGATGATAGTCAAAAAGATGTTTCTTCACAAAAAATCAAAGAATAAATGGTACGCTCACATTAAACATATCCTTGATAATATTGACAATTTGACATAGATTGATATAATACAGTTGACTGACCTAACCTCTAAGAATCGTTTCATAAAACTGGTGAGGCAGAAGTCAACAAAATCTTCATCTAGACAAAATCCGAGATTTAATAACAAACTAAGGACTTACAGTATATTTTTAAACCACAATTGACTTTAGAAAACTACACAAAATGTACATGTAGTAGAGTAAAATTCACAAAACTATGTATAAGTTTTCAAGGTTTGAAAAAGTCTCAATGATGTTTGCCTCCGAGAACATAATTTTTTCTTCTTAAACAGGCAATGCGCCTATTTTTGAAGGAAAAGGACAAAATGTTATTTGAGACATATTACTCACACACTCAATCAAATATGATAAAAACTTTAATTTGGCTCAATACTGAAGTGAAAAAAATTACAAGCATAGAAAACAGCATTTAAAGTTCAGAGATCAAAAGAAGTGAATAACCACTTTTCACAAAGTGTATGTTTTAAATAACTCTTGAATTAAAAAATGGCATATGGTTGAAAATCTTATCAAAAATGAATGTGTAATTAATGCAAACAATGATGCCATCTTTCAATGGCATTGCTAAAAACTTGAAATATATAAATTGATAGATCAAAAATATTTTTTCAAGATCTAGGGTCAACTCTGATGTGATCTGTTTGAGCTGTTTTTGGTGTCAAATGAAAGATCGGGTACTTATTATCCATTGGAAATACTATGAAGATCAAATGTAAGACTTCATTTACGCATTTTACGCATTTTGATGGAACTAGATAACAGCAACTCCGAAGATTCCTTCTCCTCGCATTTAGTCTATTCAAACCACATAATTGACCAGTTGAAAAATGTTGGTTACATTCACATGGCCGCGGGTGGAAATAACCGGGGGGAAATAACTAGAAAAAAACTCGTGCTTTGCTTGAGATACTGTTAACATATTATCTGAGAGTTAAATGCCTTGCCAAGAGCATGCACATGAAATTAAATATGAAATACATCATATTCCTTAGATAAATCTTTTTAAACCTATATCACAATTTCTGCTTCAAACATGACAACGTACAGCTAAAGTGTACACCTGTATATTTTGTCACTATACATTGTCAATGGTTAGGCATGCTTAAACGTATTACTATGCCAAAACTCCTCTGAATAACCCCCATGCATACATATTTCCCAATATGATACATAAGTAACTTATGTACAGTGCACTGGTGGGCACATAATCCTAAAAAAACCATTATTACATGTACATGTTACATTCTACATGCCCTTGCCTAACTGAAGTGATTGGAGGTAAACCATATAGAAACATTAAAGAATGCGAAAATGTGACAGAAAATCAAACAAGAATAGCACCACAACTTTTGTAAATTGTAATTGTATAGTAGTACTACAGTAGATGATAATTACATTGAAATGTCATTGAAAGATGCAATTTATATCTCCCACATTTAATGATCTTATACATATACAGTAAAACCTGTCTAATCCGAACACCCATGGGACCAGCCAAAAGCGTTCAAATTGGCAGGTGTTCACATTTCGAGGATATTGTTGAAGGGGGGGGGGGATTTTCATTGTTCAGTCCACTATATTGAACACTTAATACTAAGTCAGAAAACAATACATGTTGTTGATGAGTTTATTCTACAATAGGCCTATAGCCTATATGCTATTTTTATTTACATTTTGAACAATTTCATTATTTTAGTAAAAATAACTTATATTTTGGCAAAAACTTTGTAATACACTGACAGTATAAGTATATGATAGTCTCGTACGAAATCTTACGCTTCTCAAATGACTTATCCCATATTATGGTTATATAGCACTGCTTTACTTTTGCTTGAAAAAGTCCTTCATTGTTGTTTGTTTTTTGGCACTTTTAGTATTAGCAATATTTGAGGAGACATCGTCTTCAAGTAAAAAGATGTATAATCCTCCCTTTTTAGGAGGCATTTTAGTGATAGGATATTACGAAGTTGCATTTTTTCTCTTTCTCGTGAAATTTTGTCTGCAATTGTGTCTGTGTTGTCTTTGTGATTATAAAACATTTACTGATTGAATCTTAGCTATCATAACAAACCCATGGGATATAAAACATCTAAGACCTGTTCATAATCCAAATCAAAAACATCCAGTTAATTTACAATAAGGATAAACCAATTATCTCCCAGATTCTCACCTTTCTCTTAATCCAAATCAAAAACATCCAGGTAATTTCTAATAATGATAAATCAATTATCTTCTTGATTCACACTTTTCTCTTAATCCAAACATAAAACATTCAGTTCTTTTCTAATAGGATAAACCAATTAACTCCTGTATTCACACCTATTCAAATCACCCTGTTGTTTTCCACAAATAAGGGATGTCACTGAGACTAAATAAGTTAATTAGGACAGTATTGGATCTTTGATTACATTGTACATGTATATGTAAAGATAAACAACAACTATAGCATTGACTCAATATGTGGCTATTATTGAAATGTCCAGACATTTGATTTCTGATAAAAATGTTCAGATTAGACAAGTCACTTTTTCATATCTGGTTGTTCACTGTTCAGATTAGAAGGTGTTCAGATTTCAAGGTTTATTTAACATGGGAGTCAATGGTAGGAAAAAATGGGACCAAAAAAAAAGTGTTCAAATTGGAAGGTGTTCGGATTAGCCAGGTGTTCAGATATACAGGTTTTACTGTATTGCCAAAATGTCAGTATAGTAATTTCGGAGCAAATGTCTAAATTGATATGCTTTATGTTTCTTCATACATGTTGAACAACACAGTACTTAGTCATTTCTATGAAGAATCATAATCTTCTGATTCCACTGGAATTGCAAATTCTGGGGAAAGAAAGAATGTAGGTTTAATATAAACTAAACAATAATGAAATGCAAAATCAATGAACTATATACAGAAAATATACCATTCTTTGGAAATAATCAAAAATAAAACATGCAGATTTTTCATAAAACTTTGTTTACAGTTCACTTTTAAGTATAAATCATTCTAACATTTAAATTCCAATTATGGGTATGTATTACATCAAGTTTCAAGACAAGTAACTTTCAGAAATAAACACATTGCTGGTCCGACATCATCTACCTTTTCTCACCCTGTACTGCCATATGGTTTACCTCCAATCACTTACTACCTGGATGTTCCCAATTTAGATTATATTCCCCTCATTGCACGTCCAAGGAAGTATAGCTCAATGTCCTCCAAGGATTTACCTTTTGTTTCTGGCACAGTTTTCCACACAAAAATAGTGGCAATAAAGCAAAATAATCCAAACAACCAAAATGTCCCATCCTGTCCCAGAGATTCTTGCATTAAAATGAACTGCTTTGTGATGATGAAACCCACAAGCCAATTGGTGAAGCATGAAATGCTACTAGCTGTTCCACGTGCCCTTACTGGGAAGATTTCTGAATTCATCAACATTGGAATGGGACCCCAGCTAATCGCAAATGACATTGTAAACAACACAAGGCTCCCAACAGCTACCCAACCAGCCTCTGATTTGACATGGTAGAAACCGCCAAATATAAAACATGCTATTGTCATCCCAAGTCCACCAATTTGAAGCAGTGTTCTTCTTCCAGCTCTGTCTATTATTAAAGAAGAGAATAATGTTCCAATCACTTGAACAGCACCAATGATTACTGTGGATTGATTTCCATTCTTAAATCCAGCACTCTCAAATATTGTTACTGTATAAAACATAACAATGTTTATTCCTGTCATTTGTTGAAAAATCATAAGTCCAATAGCAGCTTTTAATGGCTGATATAGTTCTGGCCGTTTGAATTCTCTCCAAGACATGGTTTCATTAGGGTCCATACTGTCCTCAATATCACGATACTCGTCTTCAATGTCACTCTCTGGACCTCTCAACCAGGTCAACACTTTCAATGCATCCTGTTTACGATTTTTGAGTGCATACCATCTTGGTGTCTCTGGCATAAATAGCATCAGTAGAAAGCTTAGGAGGGGTGCTACAATTCCAATATTTGCCAGTTGTCGCCATGACACATACATTCCACATACATAAACAAACATGATTCCGAATGTCACAGATAATTGTACACATGTCCCTAACGCACCTCTGATCTCTTTAGGAGCCATCTCTGAAATGTATACTGGAGTGCAAGACATAATCATTCCACATCCCATTCCACAAAGAATTCGACCGATGTAAAATGTTGTCACATTCATTCCTGCAGATATAAACGACCAGCCACAAATGAAAGGAATGCTAGTGAAGATAAGGGCTCTTTTTCGTCCATATTTTTCCATTACAAATGCAACGAAAGGGCTCCCCAAAACGCCTCCTATTGACATTAGCGATGCAAACCATGTTGACTGCTCCTCGTTTAGAAAACCCCAGGCTATAAGTGAAGGGTTTGCCGGTGAGCTATACCCAATTACATAACCGAACGACAATGGCCCAAGGAAGGCGCATAATGATGCAATGATGAGATTCCGTTTATAGGCATTACTTCGAGAATCAACAAGTCGTATTCCATCATTTTGTATCATTTTTAATCGTCAACGTAATGTCATATAAAATTTAAAAGGAACGTGAACTGCTACACGTTAGAAGTTTACAAACACATTCCTATCATGCTAGAAGTGATTTCAGAATAAAATTAGATACAAAACATTTATATTTCGTGGAATAAATATCATATATATCAATACATTGGCCTGATGTAAGCTAATATTATCATACAAGAATACAAACACATATAACTCAGTTTTGAAATGTAATAGCGTGATCGGACTGTGTACTCGAAGAAGTAGGTCAAAACAAAAACATGTAGATAACAATTGTTTTATAACTATCCTGCGTATCCAGACTAACAGTAAGTATATATCATATCATATCAATATTTATTTCAAGTCGGATAATTTTTGTACAATAAACATTAGCACAAGCGCTATTGACCGACATATAGACATAGAAATCTTTAAAATAAAATTAAACATGTTAGACTAGGTACAGTGTTATTGTTAAGGTACAGCTGGAAAGTAACATTTTGGTAAAAAATTGCTATACCAGCACATGTTATTTTCTGGTACAAAATAAAGTATGAAGACATGTATCAATTTCCTTGCTTTTTCAGGAAAGTATCATTACATTGTCTTCTTTTAGAATATCTGGTAGGCGTTCAAATGGAACTCCAGGGAATTCTGATATTTCACACTTTCTGTTTTTCCAAATTTTCTTTCAAAGTTTCCAGACAACACAGGAGCTACCATTGACCTGTTTCCAGGTTTACTAAAAGTAGACAGTGTAATGATACTTTCCTGAAAAAAGGAAGGAAATACACGCATGCCTTCATACTTAATTATGTACCAGAAAATAACATGTGCAGGTATAGCAATTTTTTACCAAAATGTTACTTTCCAGCTGAACCTTAACAAGATAAATACTAGAATTGTTTTCATGGCCTGAGTTCGTCGCTAACTTATTTATACATCTGAGATTTGTCATGGCTCCAGAGGCGCATCACCAAGCATTAAAAACCCTAGGCAAGCTGAGATTCTGAAAAACAACGGATCTGTTGTTTTTGCTTTTTCTCGGAGCTCCTTACCTTAATCTTTAAAATTTTTGGACCACTATGTAGCAACGTTATTTGTCTTCAAAATGACCCTAGTTGTAATCATGTTTATCCAGCAAATTATATCAAGAAGTGTCTTTGTATTTTTCAGGTGAGAGAAAGTCGAATTCTCAAAATTGTAGTTGACCTACATAATTTATGCGCATGCGTGCTGTCACAAGTCACGTGACTAAAATTTGGGAAATTAATCTGCATATAGTCTAAACAATTAAGAGCATTAAGAGTCACTATCTCTGTTTGGTATTACTTATTAAAACTAGAAACTATAATAAAAGTCACTGTCTACATGTATGATGAGAATTCCTTGATTAAACTTCAACACTGTTGAATATTGCTATGCAGTCTGATTGATATGAACTTTATGTAGTAAAATAGATGGCATCGTATACATTAGGGAATTCCCTATCTCTTCTCGCGAAGTCTCGATCGCCATAGAAAATTTTGAAATAATTTAAAAAGTGATGATTTTCCTATAGTATCAGCGCAATTACATCGTGCATAACAACTTAGGTATGGTAAGTTTAACAATTTATTATATAACATTACATTGGGACAAATATATTTAAAAAAACAAATGGGAATCAAAAGAAATCAACTTCAAAGTAGCGCTTGGTTCAAAAAAATTTAATTTTCTGAAGTTTGAGGATTTTAATACAGGTGCATCCACGGCTCTAGTGACCCTATCAAAACTCAAATAAGATAGTCAAATAAGTCACTAGAGCCGTGGATCCACGTCTAGCTAAAGAGTAAGAGTATCATTGTATAGCACACATATATATTTTCGTCCAGTACAGTTGTCAGAATTTTAGACGATTTCTGTCAAGATTTCCATGGATAGATGGAAGTTCTGCTATAAGCTGATATATATACACACCAGGTTATGCATTGCAATGGACAAGGACAACTGATTTTACACATTAACCCAACCGCATTATACTATATACATTTTCTGAAAGCTTGAAGCATCAATAAACAATGATATTAATGATATTGAGTAAAATAAATGTTCATAGGTTAAAACAATTGTTCTATATTTCTTTGAAATACCAAGTGATTGTAGAGAATGTCTAGCAACGATATAATAAAACAAATATTATTTTCTATGTTTGGGCAATACCTGTTGCGCTTTCAATATTTTTTGCAGCATATATTTCCCTCGCCCTACAGGCTGCGGGCAATACATACTGCAAAAGTCATTGAAAGATGAACAGGTATTGCCCTCCATAGAATGAAATATTTGCTTAATATTGCATTATAATTAACCATCACCATTTATGACCATTTACTTTTTTTTTATAGATATGAGGCCAGACATGAATGAAAGGAACCCTATTATGGATGACACAGATGGTATGTATCAGACTCCTGCGATGTTAGCTCTCCCATGCATATAATGGCTTAATACCTATGTGATTGAGAACCTGAGGTTTGTCAAAACCTCAGTATTTATTTCACTATCCAGGGGTTTCAAAATAATGATTACAAAAGAGAAGAAAGAAAACTGCATTCCAAATTCTAAAAAATTATTGTTTTGGGTCTGTAGAGAATGCATCCATATATGGATAATTACATATGTCCACCTCTCTGGTTGATAACTGAAAAACCCACTGCTGTTCATATTGTATACACAACAATAAAAACGATGAACGATGAATACGATACTCACTTTTTTTACTTATACAATGTTAAACATTTAATTAAAAGAAATAATTCTTATTAATACTTAATAATTAAATTGATTCGAATATGTCACCAGATCTAGTAAAAACTAGTAAAACCTCACGAGGAGGTGCACAACATCTTAGTATTTCAATTTATTTATATAACTCATCTAATATTATCATTTAATTGAAACAAGTAATCTTTAAGTAAATCTAGCATACTGTCCATATTATATTAGTATTGCATTTACTTTTCTTGATCATTAGTAAACATCGTATTTACTTATGTACTGTTGCATAATTTATTAGGTGCAGTATTGCATTTACTTGTGACAATCATCACCACCTATTCTGTAAAGTATTTCATATACTTAGGTCTAACTGGGTAATTTCTCCACTGAAGTACTGCATTTACTAGGTAATTTGTCTTCTGATGTGTTGTATTTAAGAAATATAGACCGAAGAGAATAGAATAGAAAAGAATATCGTCGAATACACCCCGCAGGGCTTGGCACAAAAGTTTTCTGTACTCCAAACGACCAAAGGGAGTAAGGGGTTTGAAAGCTTTTGTGCCTAGCCCTAAGGGGTGTATTCTACGATATTACCCCTGCTCTGAGGTCTATATTACGATTCGAGCATGAAAACTCACGAAAATGTTTCGAATATTCATTATGGTCCGCCATTACTACTGTCCACCGTTATGACATCACACGTATTACCAGGAGCAATGTTCGCGAATATAACCCGGGTGAAATGTTGACTTTGTTTACAGTTTATAGAAGGCGTGAATACAGTCATGTTCGAATTACTTTTCTTGATCATTAGTAAACATTGTATTTACTAATGAACTCTTGTATGATTTATCAGGTGCAGTATTACTTTTACTTGTGTCAATCATCACTCAAGTATTTTTTTCAAAAGCAATCAGACTTTTTTCAGGTTTATTAATTTTATTCACATAGGGCATTTAGTATTTTGTCTAAATTACTTTTTATGTCCCCACCACATAGTGTGGGGCCATATTGTTGGCCTAGGCGCGTCCGTCCATCTATCCGTCCGTCTGTCCGTCCGTCCGTCCGTCTGTCCGTATGTCCGGGAGTTTTCTCCAAAACCAGTACAGATATCACCTCCAAATTTTTAGGGATAACTTATGAGTGCATACAGATTTGGATGAACAATTTTTAACTCGAAACCTACTTCCTGTCGGCCATTTTGAAGTCAAATGCTAAAATCCTTGTCTGCAAACTTTAAGAAAAACGGCTTCACAGTTGTTTTTAAAACTTTAACATCTTGTTCAGCTCACTTCATTCTAGATCTGATAGGTTTTGGACCTGTTAGCTCAGTCATGGCAGCCATTTTGAATGTCAAAAGAAAAGTTAGCGGGCGATAATACTTTGTATCATATTGAATGGTGTTTTTGAGTTTCCATACTTGAACTATTTAGTAGCTTTATAAATAATTTCAGATGTACTTTCTTGTAAAAGCCTATGTTATTATCCCATCGAACGAAGTTCGGAGGGATATAGGGAACGCCTCCGTCCGTCCGTCTGTCCGTCTGTCCGTCCGTCCATACGTCCGTCCGTCCATACGTCCGTCCGTCCGTCCGGGCAATAACTCAAATACCGTTAGCCCGATTTTATTCATATTTTGTACACATATACCCTATGGGGGTAGAAGTTCTGCTCGAAAGCCAATTTTCAAAATGGCCGCTCATTTCAAAATGGCGGCCATTTTAGTGCCGAATTTACAGTAATTTAGGTGCAATATGTAAAACTGTAATAGCAATATGTTTTAGATGTAAAAAAATTATATAGGACATTAATAAAGCTAGAAATGTAGATATTAAAGAAGCACATGGCACCCATCTTGAAAAATGGCGGTCTTTACTCGTTATTTTACGATTTTTGCTGTAACTCGAAAAGTAGTGGAGCGATTTTGTTCATATTTGGTATGTGAATACTATAAACATTGCACACTGTCTAAAGACACTTTAAGTAGAAGGCGGCCATTTTGAAAAATTGAAAAATGGCCGCCATTTTTCAAAATGGCCACCATTTTAACGTATTTTACTATAACTCGAAAAGTAGTGGAGCGATTTTGTTCATATTTGGTATGTGAATACTATAAGCATGACACACTGTCCTTTGACACTTTTGGTAGAAGGCGGCCATTTTGAAAAAAAATTTGAAAAATGGCCGCCATTTTAACGTATTTTACTATAACTCGAAAAGTAGTGAAGTGGTTTTGTTCATATTTGGTATGTGAATACTGTAAGCATGGCACACTGTCTAATGACACTTTTGGTAAAAGGCGGTCATTTTTCAAAATGGCCGCCATTTTAACGTATTTTACTATAACTCGAAAAGTAGTGGAGCGATTTTGTTTATATTTGGTATGTGAATACTATAAACACGGCACACTGTCTAATGGAACTTTTGGTAGAAGGTGGCCATTTTGAAAAATGGCCGCCATTTTAACGTATTTTACTATAACTTGAAAAGTAGTGGAGCGATTTTGTTCATATTTGGTATATGAATACTATAAGCATGGCACATGGTCTAATGAAACTTTTGGAAGAAGGCGGCCATTTTGAAAAATGGCTGCAATTTTTGCTATATCCTTTGTAAAAATGCCATCCATGGCTGTTCGATGGGATTCGCTACGCTTTGGCGTTGCCGTTGTTCTGGTTGTAAACAGTAGTTATATGTGATAATTTTGTAAAAAGAAATCAGCAAAAACTTATAATCACTTTTTTATTGTCGGCCATTTTTGATTTTTCTATCCTAAAATTTTGTCTGTGAAGTCTTGTCTGCGCGTTTTCAGGTGAACCGTTTGGTGGATCAATTTCAAATTTTGAGGGATGATTCTTAGTATAAGAATTTAGATCTGATTAGATTTTTGGCATTCTAGGTGAATGCAAAGGCAGCCATTTTGGATTTTCCGTCCTAAAATCTTGTCTGTAAAGTCTTGTCTACACGTTTTCAGGTGAACCGTTTGGTAGATCAATTTCAAATTTTCAGGCATGATCCTAAAATGAAAATCTTGAACTGATTAGTTTTTTGGCATTCTGGGTAAATGTCAAGGCAGCCATTTTGGATTTTCTGTCCTAAAATCTTGTCTGTAAAGTCTTGTCTACGCATTTCCAGTAGTTCTGTAGATCAATTTCAAATTTTCAGGAATGATTCTTAGTATGAAAATCTAAATCTGATTAGTTTTTTGGCATTCTGGATAAATGTCAAGGCAGCCATTTTGGATTTTTCGTCTTAAAATCTTGTCTGTAAAGTCTTGTCTACACGTTCATATGGTGAACCGTTTGGTAGATTAATTTCAAATTTTCAGGGATGATTCTTAGTATGAAAATCTACATCTGATTAGTTTTTTTGCATTCTGCGTAAATGTCAAGGCAGCCATTTTGGATTTTCTGTCCTAAAATCTTGTCTGTAAAGTCTTGTCTAAGTGTTTTCAGGTGAACTGTTCAGTAGATCAATTTCATATTTTCAGGGATGATTCTTAGTATGAAAATCGAGAAACAGATTAGTTTTTTGACATTTTGGGTAAATGTCAATGCAGCCATTTTGGATTTTCCATCCTAAAATCTTGTCTGTAAAGTCTTGTTTACATGATTTCTGGATTTTCCGTCCTCAAATTGTGTTGGTAAAGTCTTGTCTACTCATTTTCAGGATAACCATTTGACGGGATCACCCATTGGTGGGGACATTTTGTACACATTTGTGTTCTTGTCATTACTTGCTTTTACTAAAATGTATTCTAATTAAGAAATATAGACAGAAGAGTAAAGTTTTTGTGCCTAGCCCTACGTAAGGGGTGTATTCAAAAATAGTAGCCCTGCTCTGAGGTCTTTATTATGATTTGAACATGAAAATTCACCAGAATATTGCAAAATCTTCAATTTAGATGTTCATTTCCACTTTTTTTCATTTCTACTTCCGGTTGAGCTTTTGCTCTGAATGAAACACTTAGTACAGAGCCAGGGCATTGATCTCGAATATGCCCCAGGTGAAACATTGACTTTGTTCACAGTTTATAGAAGGCCTGAATACAGTCATGTTCAAATATAGATTCTTAAAGTAATTTGTCCCCTTAATTTTACTTTAAATTATTTCAAGTTCTTCTTGTAATTCATCTACCATTTTTATTTATCTATCATTTATTCCAATAGATTCTTCAAGTAATTTGCACACTTTTTGCTTACAATTATTTCAAATTACTGAATTGTAATTCATCAATAACATTAGGTAATTAAAAGCCCACTACGTAATTATTGCTTTAATATTGAACCAAGAAAATCACATAGAAAAAAGCATTTGAAGTTCAGAGATCATTAGACATGCATACACATGTTAAACAAAGTGAATGTTTTAAGTAACTGTTGATTTAAAAGATGGCTACATGTAAAAATGAATGTATCATGTAATACAAACAACTTCTCCATCTTTCAATGACATTGATAAAAACTTGATATATAAAGCTTGACAGATCAAAAATATTTTTTTGATAATTGTAAGCTTTGATGTGGTCCGTTTTAGCTGTTGTCGGTGTCAAATGAAAAATAAGGTTCTTATCAATACATTGGACATACTATGAAGATCAAAAGTAAGTCTTTATTTTGCCCAAAAGCGTTTGCAAAGTGAGCCTTTAATAGTAATTTTAAGTGCAGCTTTGAGCCTG